CAAACTCCCCCTCCCTAGGTGGTACTATTTCTCCCGCCGAACTATGAGCAAAGTTCGGGGGGGAAGGGCACCCAGGATCTGCTATTCGGGTTCCCCTCTTCCATAAAGAATTGGAAAGGGGATTTATTCTTTGTTAAATCCACGCATTTTCCTTCTAATGTGTGGAAGGTCGGGGAGGTTGACTCCGACCCTTTTCCGGGGGACTTGGACTCTGAAACCCTCAACCAACTGGTGAACTCCAAGGTGAAGCTCTACGCGGCCAGGTTCTCCACCGAGCAGATTTCTGCGGCCAGACTGATGGGGACGATGTCCGGGTCCCCTGGAGAAGTGGTGCATTCCCCCACCGACTACGACACTTATAATGCCGCCTCTAGGCTCCTGTAGTCCATTGCTTTCTTCTTTCTTTTACTGACATGTATTTACTAACCTGATGGTGTTTGCTGTAGTGAGGAGGCTTTCCAATCTGCTAGGCACCCCCCCACCGTGGCCGTCCCGACTCCGTAGTCGGAGGCCACCAAGAAGGCCTCCCCGACTCCTGGAGCAGCTCGAGCCCCCAGAAGGAAGCATCTCACCCCTCGTCCCCCTCCAAGCAGGTCGCCAGCAAGAAGAAGACTGCCGGGCAAAAGAGGGGTCGAGGGGATGAGCCCTTCCAGCCTGGGAAGAGGCTTATGCCAGCTCCAGCGCAGCCCCCTCTCCTGCTAACGTCGGGGGGTGCCCCCCACGCGAGTCCGGTCCATCTGGGGGTTGGCTACGCGGAGGAGCACGCACGGGAGACGCCTCCCCCCAGCTTGTGGCATTTCCGCCATGTGGCCCCCGTGAAGCCGGGCCAAGCCCCCACCATGCACGACCCCCGTCGCTTCTGCCCGTCCTGGGGGCTCTCCATCAACGACCGAGCCCAGTTCCCCGAGGTGGCTCGTGAGTTGGTTGTAGGCTCGGTCCTCCCGCGCAACAGGAGGTGGATGGAGTTGGCCAACCCGTCCGAACTACAGGACATGTATTACACCGCCTAGGCCCAAGTAAGCTTTCTTCCTTTTAGGCCACTTGTGTCTTTGCTTTTCCCTTGGATGGAGTTGGCAGTATGCTAATTTTCCTTTTCGTTCCTCAGGCCAATACCGCCGGAACTGCCCTGGTGACCCGCTTCTTCGAGTTGTCTCCCGACTTGGAGAAATTGCAGAAGAAAAATCGGGAAACCGAACAGAAGTTTGCCCAGACCCTTAAGGAGACAGACTCCCTTAAGGCCAAGTTGGGCGAGACCGAGAAGGAGTTGGAAGCGGTTCAGGTCCAGCTCATCTCCACCAGGTCGGAGCTGGACCAGGAGAGGACGGGCGTGGAGAAGCTGAAGGCGGACCACGCCATTGAGCTCTCCGGCACCGTCAGCCGGGAGCGCAGGAAGGCTGTTCGGGAGTTCATCTCTTCCGAACAGTTTGCTGAAAACGTCGCCCTCCTCAACCAGCCCATCCTTCAGGTCGGCTTCACGCGAGTCCTGGACCAGGTGAAGGGCCTTAACCTGCCTGACTTCAACTTGGCTGACTTCAAAGACTAAAATCCCGCAGCTAAGGAGAAGCTTGACTGGCTCTTCGACGGGTATTGCAAGGGGCATGTTCTAAAGGACCTGGTGGGCCGGAGTGACGTGGGAGCCGAGCTGGCGGAGATTCCCTTGGAGGAGGACGAGGCTCCCGGCAGGGCTTCCGCGAAGGAGCCAGTGGCTAAGGGGTTTTAGGGGGCTGAGCTGTATATTTTTCCCTTTTCATTTAGTTCGGTAGGCTTTGTAATAGGTAGGTTTTCCATGTATACATGAAATTCGATTATCTAATCTTGACTCCCAAATTCCGCTTGCGCCGAACGCTAATAATCAAAGCAGTGTGCTGACCTCCTTGGCCGAGCACCGAATTGATCCACCAAGGCGGCGTGCCGACCTCTCGGGTCGAGAATCTATCAAACTTTACGCTAATCAGCTAAATTGTTAAGGACGCCAAACTGGGGTACTATCAAACTATCAAACCAAGTTAACAATCGAACTCTAATAACCGAAGCGACGTGCCGGCCTCCTGGGCCGAACACTCGATTTTAAGGCCTTAAGCTACGTCGACCTCCTAGGTCGAACGTCAAACTCTCAAACTTTAAGTACATCCCATTGATTCATTGCCCCCCGCTAAGTGTGCTAATGTAAAATTAACAATCAAACAGCGTGACAGTTCAAGATAAACGGCCTTGATAAATTTTGTAATGAAGGTTCTAAGTCGAACACTTATTTGGTTTGACAATAGGATATATTAGACCAACCTAACTTAGGAACAATCGCAAGTTCAAAAAGTGCCAAGTGCGGGGTACCTCCACTACATCTAATTTCGCAAGCTTACAGTACCCAACCCGGCTTGTCTTTAGGACCTTGTACGGCCCCTCCCAGTTCGGATCGAGCTTATTGGAACTATGAGCTCGACTGACTGAGTTCTTTCTCAGGACAAGGTCTCCCGGCTGGTACTGCATGTTCTTCACTTTCGTGTTATGATAGCGGGTGAGTTGACTTTTGTATTTAGCCATCCGTATAGCCGCTTCCTCGCGTCTGGCCTCCAACATGTCCAAGTTACACCTCAACTCTTCTTCGTTGGCTGCTGCAACGAAGTTCTGTGTCCGAAGCGAGGGAAGGCCGATCTCTGCTGGTACCACCGCTTTTGCCCCATAAGTCAGGGAGAAAGGGGTCTCATGAGTGGCTGTTCTCGGCGTAGTTCGGTAAACCCAAAGGACACTAGGAAGTTCCTCTAACCAATTAGACTGGGCCAGCTCCAACCTAGTTTTCAACCCTTGCAGAAGGGTTCGGTTAACATTCTCCACTTGGCCGTTGGCCTGGGGATGACCGACCGACGTGAAGTGTTGACTAATCCCGAGCTCGGCGCACCAGCTCCTGAAGGGGTTCTCAGCGAACTGTTGTCCATTGTCAGATATCAAGACATGCGGAATCTCAAAACGGCAGACTATGTTCTTCCAAAAGAATTTCTAGACCGCTCTTCCAGAGATAGTGGCCAAAGGCTCCGCTTCTATCCACTTTGTGAAGTAGTCAATGGCCACCACGAGGTGTCCGTGTCTCCCGGAAACTCAGGGAAAAGGCCCCAAGAGGTCTATTCCCCATTGGGCAAAGGGTTAAGGACTGTGGATGGGGACCATCTCCTGATTCGGCTGGTGACGCAGCGGGGCGTACACCTGACAAGCTCGGCATTGCTGAACTAGTGCCGCGGCATCCCGGAACACTGAGGGCCAATAATAGCCTAGGAGTAGGCACTTTTTGGCCAAAACTCGAGATCCCACATGTGCCGCGCATAAGCCTTTATGAACTTCTCGTAGGACATAGTCGCCCTCCTAAGGGGTTACGCACTTTAGTTAGGGAGATAAATACGACCTCCTGCAGAGGATCCCCCCAGAGTAGGCGTATTTGGCAGCTCTGAACTGGAGTCGGCGAGCCTCGATTTTGTTCACGGGGAGGGCACCCGAGTTGAGGAAGTCCACGAGGGGGGTCATCCAAGAGGCCGGGCTGTCTATAGCCAAGACTTGGACCTGGTCAATACTTTTTTGCTTGACTACCTCCACCAAAACTTCCTTACTCAGGTGAGCAAAAGAGGAGGACGCCAGTTTCGACAGGGCGTCCACGCGTTTGTTCTGTGATCTCGGTACCCGTTCGATTTCAAAAACATCAAACAGGGTTATCGCCTCTCGTACCTTAGCCAAATATTTTTTCATGACGCCCTCCTTGGTCTCGTACTCCCCGCGAACTTGGTGGACTACGAGTTGGGAGTCACTTCGAGCTTTGATCGCAGTTATACCCATCTGGTGGGCTATCCGCAATCCAGTCAACAGGGCCTCGTACTCCGCCTCATTATTGGATGCCGGGAAGTCAAATCTGAGCGCGTAGGTCAGCTCTTCCCCGGTGGGCGAGGTGAGCAGTAGGCCGGCCTCGCTCCCTTCCTTGCTCGAGACCCCGTCCACAGATAGTACCCCCGGCTCATCCGGCCGTACCTCCTTGGGCAAGGAGCTCGGCTCAGCCACTGACAAACTGGCTCCCTCAGCAAGAAAGTCTGCCAGGGCCTGAGCTTTGATAGCGGTGCAAGGCTGATAGCCGATGTCGTGCTCGGCCAGCTCGACGGCCTACTTGGTCATCCTGCACGAGACCTCAGGCTTTGTGAGTATCTGTCGTAGGGGCTGATCAGTCAGGACAACAATGCTGTGGGTCTGGAAGTAAGGTCGAAGTTTCCGGGCGGCGTGCACCAGGGCGAGGACCAATTTTTCGGCCAGTGTGTACCGCGTTTCCGGCCCTTGTAAAGCACGGCTGACGTAGTATATTGGCCTTTGAGCCCTCCTGTCCTCCCGCACCAAAACCGCACTAACGGCCTCGTTGCAAGCAGACAAGTATAGGAACAGGGTTTCTCCCTGCTCCGGGGCGGTCAGAGTGGGCAGCTCAGCCAGATAGGCTTTCAGGTCAGCGAAGGCTTTCTGGCACTCCTCAGTCCATTGAAAGTCCTTAGGCGCTTTCAAGATTCGGAAGAATGGTAGGCCCCTCACCGCGGAACTCGAGAGGAACCTATTCAGGGCGGCTATCCTTCCCGTGAGCCGCTGGACCTCCTTTACATTCCTCGGAGGGGCCATGTCCATGATGGCCTGAAACTTATCCGGATTGGCCCGGATCCCCTCTTGGGACACCCAGAAACTTAGGAACCTTCTCGACCTAACCCCGAAGGTGCATTTCTTCGGGTTCAGCTGCATCCGGCTCTCCCAGAGGATATCTAAGATCTCCCTCAGGTCGGGAACGAGTCGTCGATCTGTTCGGCTCTTGACGATCATATCGTCCACGTAGACCTCTATACTCTTGCCGATCTGATTCCGGAATAATTTGTTGACCAGGCGCTGGTAGGTAGCTCCAGCGTTTTTTAGCCCAAACGGCATTGTCTGGTAGCAGTAAGTCCCTTCCTCGATGATGAAGGAGATCTTTTCCCGGTCTTTTTCGGCCATCTCTATCTGGTGGTATCCTTGAAAGCATCCAGAAAACACAAAACGTCAAAACCCACAGTAGAGTCTACTGACCTGTCGATCCTCGGTAAGGGGAAACAATCCTTTGGGCAGGCCTTGTTGAGATCTGTGAAGTCCACGCACATCCTCCAAGACTGGTCCTCCTTCTTCACCAGGACCGGGTTGGCTAACCAGGTCGGATAATATACCTCCAGGATGATTTTGGATTCCAGCAGCATGCCGACCTCCTTCTTGATCACCTTATTTCTCTTCGGGGCGAAACTTATTTTCTTCTGCTTCACTGGCTTGAAGCGGGGATCTATGTTGAGATGGTGGACAGCCAGATCAGTCGAGATCCCGGGCATTTTCTCAACCGTCCATGCGAAGACCTGGGAGTATTCAGCAGGGGCCTTCAAACCCTCCTTTTCCTCGGGAGGTAACGACGCGCCGATGCGGAGGACCCGGTCAGGCCTGTCCTCTCGCAAGGGGAACTCCTCAACCTCGTCCAAGATGCCCACCTGCCGGGCCTCCTCCCCCGGGGTGTAGGGTTCAAAGCTAGCCGTTTGGACGACCACCTTCTCCTGTCCCCGAAGCATGGCCAAGTAATAAGCTCTGGCCACTTCTGGATCTCCACGCACCTCGGCTACTCCTCCCGGGATAGGGAATTTGACGCTGAGGTGGAGTGAAGAGGGAATAGCTCGGAGGGCGTTCAAAGCGGGTTGCCCCAAGAACACGTTGTACGGGGATTGTTGTTTGACCACCACGAAATTGACAGGGATGGTCCGGCATTTGGGGGCCTGCCCTACCGTGACCATCAGGGTAATCATTCCCTCCGAGTTGATGGGTGGTCCGGTGAAACCCACCAGGGGTGTCCGAACCGGGGTCAACTGTCCGTCCTCCAAGCCGAGCTCTTTAAACACTCGGTAAAACAGGATGTCCACCGCGCTCCCTTAGTCGATGTACACTTTTTTTACTCGATAGTTATTGGTGACGACGTCTATCACGATGGCCTCGTGGTTCCCGGACGCCAGGGGAACCGCATCCTTTGGTCCGAAGGTGATCTCTTTGTCAATGCGCAAGTGCTTCAGGGAATCATCTCCCTCAGGAGAAGGTCGCCTGTTCTTCCGAGTTGCGTGGTTGTCCCCCCTGTGGGACCCCCAGCGATGATGTTTATCACCCCTGCTAAGTACTGGATGCCCTGGTCAGGGGAGTGGCCCCGAGATATGTCACGCCGCTCAGGGCGACCGCGACGCTGATCCTCACCCCTGTCTCCGCGGTAGGTGTGTCCCGACTCCTGGTCCGGTCGACCTTGCCGTACGAATCGTCTCAGGAAATCGCGCTGGATCAGATCCTCGATCTCCTTCCGCAGGGCCCAGTACCCCTCCGTTTCATGCCCGACGTCACGGTGGAAGACACAGTATCGGTCCTGGTTTCTCTTGTTCCGGGGGGTCCCCATCTTAGGCGGCCGTTCCCCTAGGCCCTCCGCCTCCATGACGGCCAGGATCTGGGCTCTGGGCCGAGTCAGGGGGGTGTACCCTTTCTCCGGAAGCGGCGGTTGAGCGGGACTTTTTCCTTGGAGAGTCGGTCGAAAACGTTTTTCTTGGCCAGGCCATCCTTGCTTTCGGGTGGGTTTCCCCGTCCTTTGCGATCTCCGAGCTCCCGATCCAACTCCCTCTTCAGGCGCGCTGCCTCCTCTTCGTTAGCGGCTGCGTGCGCCCTGGTCAGGAGCTCCTCCAGGTCTCCAGGAGGCTTCTCGGCCAACTTGTAGAAGAGCTCCTCCGCCCTGAGCCCGTTCATGAAGGCGGCCATCACCACCTTTTCGTCCTTGTCCCTGATCTGCAAACTCTCAATGTTGAAGCGGGCCATGAAGTTTCTCAGGGACTCGTCCGGCTTCTGCCTGATTGCCATCAGGTAAGCCGCGTTTTTCGAATAAGTCTTCGAAGAGATGAACTGGGCGACGAATTGCCTAGCCAGTTCGGGAAAACTTCGGATGGACCCCGGTGCCAGACCCTGGAACCAGAGCCGGGCCCTCCCCTTCAGGAATATGGGGAAGGTCTTGCAACGGATCTCATCTGCTGCTGTTTGCAGACGCATGTGCGTCAGGAAGACCGAGTGGTCTTCCGAATCAGTCGAGACGTCGTACAGCTCAATGTTCGGGATCTTGAACCTCCGGAGCAGAGGGTAGTTCTCTATCCTCGGGTAAAGGGCGAGGGCGTGTAATTGTTCTCGTACAATTGCGGCCGCAAGATCTACTCGAGTTCGTCTCGGACAGGTTTCCACTGGGAAAGGTTGCGCGGCCGGCTCTTGACAGATCGGTCGGGGAAGCGTTCAGGCTCGTTCCGTGTAGGCTTCCGCGGGGAAGGATTTTTTGGTCGGATCCTAGCGGACCGGTCGCGGAAATACCTCTCGCTATCCCCGACCACCGAGGCTCGTGGGCGAGGAGGAGTCCGTGGCCGTTTCCTCCTGGGGGGTTGGTCCCGTGACTCATCCTCTGAGGGAATGAGAGGTGATTCCTTCTCCTTCTCCTTCGTCTTGGAGGTCTGCGCGCCCCCGGCTTCACCTCCCTCCTTCGCCTGTCGGATCATGTCTTCCAGCATGGGGAGGTTCTCCGTCACGAACTGAAGGATCTGCTATTTCCGTTCTCCTGAAAGGGCTGAGCCCCCGGCGTCCCATGCAGCCTCGGTCTCCCTTCGCCGGGACCCCTCGCCAGCTCCGGGATCGGTGGTCTCCATGGTTCGCTTGGAACGCGTTCTCGTCATCAACACAACTACACTTTACCTTTCCGTTCCCACAGACGACGCTAACTGAAGAAGCGCTGAGCTTCTCCGGACCGAGCTGATCTGATGAGCTCGGCGTGCTGATGAGAAGAGCGTGTCCAAACCCTGCAAAACAGACAAAAAGCGGCCTCGATGGTGACTAACAAAGGGGGGCCCCGAGACTGTCCCCGAGGGCACTCCGACGGTCAAGTTAATTTTCCGGTGGGTGGAGTGTACTGAGAGTAAACAGGTGAGGGTCTCTTGCCTGTAGTGAGCGTACCTTGTGCAGTTGGTGTGCGTTACCATTTATACCCGCTCGAGAGTTCGACCTCCGTACATTTCGAGACCTGCCCGAGATAATCTCAATCCCGCGCTAAGGTGGATTCTCCCCGCCCTCTGCGGGATTGTTCCCTGGAGCCTTTCGGAGCCCTAACGGCGGTGTGCCCCAGGACGGTTGCCATGGGCCTGGGGTCCAGGCCCAACTCTGACCTTCCTGGGCTGCCACGTGTCTAGACCCAGGACGGGGCCTCTGCACAAAGCCTTCCTTAACTCAGCATAGACCTCCCCGTTCCACTTATCTAACTTCTGCTGTTCACCTGACAGATGGTTTGCTTTTTCCTCTGCAACTTCCAGCGCATTGTTTCCAGGCTCAGGCTTCATCTCTAAAACATGGATTTTTGCTGCTGCTTTTGTATCGTAGTGTAAGTCACACGAGACAAAGTTACGGTAAGCCAGAGGGTAGGCAACCTTTGACCTAAGCAGAGCCGAGAAGTAGGCTGGTAAAGCCGTCTGTTTGGCCAACAAACTTAGTTGTAGGCAACGGGTACCTTTCTTCATGGTGAGATAGTCATGGCTGAGACCGAGCATCACCCCTGCTTCTTGCGTGTAGCCATTGATGGCGGCAATTGTGGGCATGGGAAGGGAGATGAGATCTGATACTACATGCTTGAAGTCGTCAATCATTATTTCGTAGTAGCGTTTGTAACTTTCATTTGACCCTTTAGCTTGCTTCCTGGCACAACTGATAAGGGGAAAACGGTAACAGCGTCAGATTTGAACAGATTACAAGTAGCTGCTCGAAGGGTTTTAGATTCTACGGAAGGTACATGTCATCCAAATACATAGTGTAAAGAAAGTAACACCAAAGCGTTACAAAAGATCTAAAACCTGCTTTTATTTCCATTAATTATTTGTTTATTAATTTATTTTATTTTTACTTTTTAAGTTTTAAGGTACAATGGGAAGGTTTAGGAACCGAATCTTGGCTCTAAGGCCAGAAACGAATATGGCAAATTATGGTTTCACATATTTTTCTTAGCCTACAATTCGACCTTATGATCTTTTCAGCTCAATCAATGGTGGAATCGTAGAAGAGGTTATACAGTCTTACTTTTAGGCTAAATTTGTACTCTGAGTATTGTCCATACAATTTCTTCCTAATATTTTCAGCCCAGAGAAAAATTGTCAGGGTAAACGACAGAACGCAAGGTTTGTAACTCCATTTTTCTGTGGTTTCTGCCGAAATGGTAGAAAAAGAGCAGCAATTAAATTACTTACCTTCTCTTCTCATAATCATAGGAATTACTTGAAATTTGCTTTGGAAATTAGTCAGTCTCTCTGTGATCAATATTTCTTTCTTTAACTTCGGAAAAATTTGTGATTTCTGGCATATAAAACCTTGTTGTCGGTTTGTGCTCTTAAGATGAACTTTTCTTGGACGATGCTCTTCAATATGCAAAGAGAAATTATCTTTAACAAGTCATGTTTAATTTGCCAGTAACATACCCGTCATCAAATCCTTTGCAGAATACTTCACCTTCACCAGTGGTGATGAGGACAGATTCCTTGGTGGCCTTGGACTTAACCGCATCAAGACATTCCCGGATAGTCTGAATGAGTTCTGGGTTCAAAACATTGCCATAGCTGGCTTGGTTCAAAGTGAGTAGGAAAGATTTGTTAGTTTCATGTTGCTGCAAGCATATGCCGGAGCCGTACTGCCCTTTCAGGTAGTGGTAATGGCGTTTTGCTTGTTTGAACAATATTGGTAGCATGACTGTTAACAGAATAGACAATGGTAGGTCTTTTAGTTCCAGAAATACGCTGCTTCCGAACATGTGGTAATGAGTATTTATACTTGTAGATGCGGGAGAAATGCAGTTTTCGCCTCTAGTTTGTTTACCATTGATGGGAATTGGAGCAGTTATGGATGAATTAGGTGCAATTGTGTACGGTTATTATACTTTATTCATAACTTGGTGTATACTTATAAACGCGGTTGTATTTAGGTATTGAATTGATATATACGAGTAGAATAAAATTTATGAATACAGTAAAATTATATAAAAGTACACTATTTTGTATAAAAAGTACAATAACACTTCAATTGTACCATTTTAACTACATGTGCCTGTAGTCCTTTCTGATGTAACTACTTGATCATCTCTTTTTGTCCATTGACATTTTTATTTAGGGAAGTTGCAATGTTTGGATAGCAAATTTTTTCAAAAAAAATTTCGCTTATATCATAAACACATTTTTCAATTCACTTTTTTACATTCGCAATTACTTTTTTACCTCACATACATCACATCACAAAAAATATTATAGTAATTATTCCAAATAATTATTTGAAATAATACTCTACTCAATCCAAACAGTATTTTATGTCCTTGCGCGCCGCGGGGTGAGGACATATTAAAGCTATGTGACCAAGTTAAATTTGTGCAACAAATGCTCGCAGTTAACAAATTTAGAAATTTATGTCTACTATGTAGAAAATTTTGGTTCAGTTTCAAATGTTTATCTTAAATACTAACCATTTTCGCTTCTTGTTTACACATCCAAATTTTTTCCAACAAATACGTACAAGGTGCAGTAGCTAGTGCTGCAGTTACAAAAATAGGTACAAGGTGAAAGTTGAACAGGCATCATGGAGAGCAAGAATGGGTATTCGACCGTTATTGAAAATTATTTCTTTCTTCTCTTTCCTTTTGAGTCCCTCCCCCGCCTCAAAAAAAAAAAAAGAATTACCTGTTCAATTTGGGATCCAATTTCATTTC